TTGTAGCTGTTATATTATCGTAATAAGTTTTTACACGGTAATTTAGAAAATTAAGATTAGTTTTTTCTATTACGAAATATAATTGATTTTTTACCAAATATTTTAGAAAAAAATTAATTTGATTTCAACAACATTAGTTAAAATACCAGTCTCATACTCTTAGACTTAAATTGCTGGGCCCCATTTATAACATTTCAGGGGTTGCCCGGCCACACTCGGCACCCCCCCCCCCCGTGCGCATGCCCATGGTAATTATGATTTTTAAAGTTTAATAAATATACCATTATTGTTGATTAAATTGTAAAACCAAAATAAACTAATATTTGATTAATTATAAAAATTAATATTTAATGAACGTTTATAACTATTTTATAAAAAATAATGAAATCATATACCTAACCTTTTATAATAAAACAAATAATAAGCAAAATAATAACCAAAAGATTACCTTAAAAATAAATTATTTTTTTATTATAAAAACAATATAATTTGATAATGTGTGTACATTGTATATCATACAGTTAATTTTATTTAAAATTAAATCATAAAATATATTATTAAGGTATTATAATAATTTATTTTTCCAAGTTCCTCTTGATATTAAATGGGGCTTGAGCAAGCGTATATTTAATTGTTTCTACAATTTCATTTTGTAAAGTAGTTTTAAACTTAAAAATTTTGAAGTATTTTTATGTAAATAAATTGGGAGCATTACTAGATCTAAATGGTTTCTCATATCAAAAAATACATTTTTTTTAATGTGAAAAAAAACGTGTTGATTGGTATTGAGTAATGCATTATAAATTAAACTTTATTTAACTTTTCATTTCTAGATGTTATTAAAAGTCATAGTAAATTTAATACATCTCTACATAGACTGGATGTATGGACGCCGGAACAATGGAAGCAACTGCCCCCATGGGAAAAATTCCTTGAGGACATAGCCCCCCACTGACATTTTCCTAGAATTTACGCACCCGTGACTAAAATACATAAGCCATCTTTTATATTAATTTTATGTTGAATATAGAAAGAAAAATCAAATATATTTAATAAACTGTCTGTTTTTAAGAATTAACATGAATAATAGTTTTATTTAAAAATAACTTGCATGTACTATGTATGTAGTAGTTAATATTTTATGTAGTATATGAGGTATGTATATAAGAATAAGATAACATGGAGATAATAATTGTTTATAGTAGCAATATTAATTATTAATCTTTATTTAGAAAATGAAAACGATTTAGCATTTAATCACAACACCCAAAATAAAATAGCTTTTAGTATAGGAAATCCATTGTCACGACTGTACAATAGATTTTTACCTATTCAATCTATTTCAAGAATCATTTGTTTACAACAACCGATGTGATCGGACACAGTCGAGTTATAATTTATATAATTGTGATTTGTGAATACGTGGCAAAGATAAAACGAAGTAAAATAACAGCATTTTTTCAGAAAATATCTAAAAATACAAAAGACAACAGTAACGGTAGGTAATTCATAATATACCGAATGTTAATTAAGTCACTGTCTACTGACAGTTTTAACATATTATTTGATTTATACATTTAATAATATGCTTCTGTAAATATTTATAGATAATAAACCAGTAGGAATTATTTTGTACATTATTTTTAATGATTGACTTGTACTATACATTTTATTTTTAAAAGAAATGTTAAACTTAATGGAATATATTATTTGTATACTAAAAATGCAATAGGTTAACTCGCGCCTAATGATGATATAAAAAGGGACGTACCCATAAATACTCGACGGCCAGTGGCAGCCGCCAGAAATACCAATTCTGTTATCGTACTCCATGGGTAGTTTTTAAATAATAATACATGTTTATTGTAGCTTATAAATTATTTTTAATGTCATAATAAATTAAAAAATATTTTAAACAAATATATATTATATACATTTACAAGATACATTTATTGACATTAGTTTTTAAATTGGAAAAAAGTAATTGAAAGGTTTTCCTTCTTTAATTTACATTACCTTCCTCTATATTTGTAGCTGTGCTCTGCCCCCACGATTTAAAAATTGTTCCGGTGCCACTGACTGGATGTTAAATAGGGATCGTAATTTTGAAATAGAATTATTAGAATATTTTGTATTTTAATATCTTACCAAAAATCATCAAGCATGTTGCAAATCAGAAAACTTCTTTTTCCCTTTCTTGCCAGTGAAAAAGAATTCTCATAACAGTTTGTCTTTAAAAAATTATGCTATGATCCGCTTGACCATAGATTTTGGGTGTTGACCACCAATATAAGATAATTTGCTTACCTAAAATATCAGATAATTATAGCAATAATTTTAGTATAAATTTAAATTGTTTTATTACCAAAAATTTTACGAAAAGTTAAATCTCCCAAAATGATGTTTTTAAATGTATCAAGATCAATAGAATTGTCTAAAATAAATTGATAATTTGTTGAATCGTTTAATACAGATAAATGTTGAAAAATTGTTAAATGAGTCAATATTTTTAGTACACTGTGATTCTAAAAATTCCTGTCTTTGAGCCTATCAATTTGATTGTTTATAACAGGGATGGCAAATCCATGGCACACGGCGCCCGAGATGGTAAGCGAAAGTTTCTACTATTATATATTATATATTATAGGACCTATAGTATAATATAAATAATTAACAAAGCAATATTATTATAATTATGTACCTAAACTAACCTTTTTACTAATAAATTAATTATACAATCAAATTATAATATAACAAAATATAATATTTTTAATATCTTTTTCATGGCACGCTCTATAAAAAAAAAAAAGGTAACTTTGGGCACGCAGTGTTCAAAAAGTTTGCCATCTCTGATTTATAACATGCCCTAATTCATGTTTTATAAAGGTAAGTCTATGAAATATTTATTTTTGAAATTCTTTATCTGGAAAATAGAATTGAAATTAAAATTATAATTAGTTTAGAATATAGTATATATAATAGTTATTCTAAGAACAGCAATGAAATTCTAATAAAATATTAAATTTATATTTCAATATATACAATAATAATAAAAATAAATAATTAATAATATAAAGTAGGGTCTCGATAATTCGAAAGACACGGTAATCCGAACGAGCTTGAGAAATATCGAATTGCTATATTAATACATATGTATAAGTCATAATAATAGTAAATATATATTTTAATCAATAAGGTACATACTATGTAATAAATATTATATTAACTGGCTGTACATACACACATATATAATTATAATAATTTTTTGTATACATTGTATTTTTAAATTTCGAATTTTTACATGATTAATACAGATAAAAATTAATTTCGTAATTTAAATTACAATAAAATTGATGTTTTTATTAAGCCATAGATAATCCGAATGACTCCTTTCTCAAATCTCGTTCGGATTATCGAGATCTTATAGTACTATCAACTGAAACTAACCCAATGTAGTAGGTGACTTACCTACTGTTGAAAATTATTTCAGATTTAACAGAAAATTGATTTTGGTGTTGTATTTTACATAAATATACCTAGAAAATGTAAAATCAATATTAAGTAAAATTAATATTATTTTCAATTAAAACAAAATCAAAACTTCATATTTAAAAAAATTCCGTATAAATATTGGATTTTCAATATCAAATAATTATTATTTATATTATGCTTAAGAAATATGATCTATTAGAAATTATTTTTTCGAATACAAATATTACAAAACAGTGTCAGTCAGTGATTATTTCGAAGGGCAACTATATTGATAACTCAATACTTAATTTATGTACATATTTATATACTATATATTTTGAATACTTATTTAAAAAATAATTTCTTCTCAAATCTTGAAATTTTGCATACTAAGTGAACTGATTTTTAAGCATGTTACTTAAAGCATTTATTATGGTTTATATAAAATATATCTATATTAATTAGTTGATATTTACGAAGTTTAAATATCTTACATAAATATGTAATATATACATAAATATCTAATATATTAGATCACCGGTCAGTGGCGGTAAATAAGGAGTGGTGATAGGTGGATCGCCCCTCCCTTAGGTTGGGAATTTTTTTTTTTAATTTAGTATATCGTTGGCCCAAAAACACCTATCTGCAAATTTTTGAACTCATGATTTGATAACAAAATATTTTTTTCGTTTTAGCCACAGATAATATATTATCATAATCTATGTCTAGGATGCACACAACTCGTATAATTGTAATTATTATTATAAGATACATTTTATAAGTTAATACATTCATACCTTTAATCTATATGTATATAATATATAAAAATGCTATGGAATGGGGGAGGTTTGACTTTATTTATGAATATCCTGTAGAATGGCTACTGTCACCAATTGTATAAAAGACTAAAGATAAATTAAGGAGAATAATTAAGTAAGGAAAAACTGTACATAATGACAAAAAAATAAAATAAAATATATAAAATGACACACAATTATAAATTATATTGAAAAATTATCGGACATCAGTATATAATTTAAATGTATTTATATCATTGTTGTATTTAAAAAAACCTTCTAATGTTTACAATTGTTTTATCTATAACTACTTTATTTAAATTTTTAAAATTAATATAATTAATTAAGTCCTTTCTTTATAAAATAAGATTTAATTTCATACTAACCTACTCAGAAATATAATGAAATAATATTTAAACACACATATATTAAACGTAAAAAAATCTTAGTCGAAACAATATTGTTTTGTAGTATAAATATTAAAATTTAAAATATGATACAACTATCATATTATTGTACTAAATTAGATTATTTTTTTTAACTTAAATACAACCACGTAAAGAATATTATAAATTAAAATTATTGTTACTACACGTAAAAACTATATATAGACATTTTAAAAATCATAAAGTGCATGAGTAAATACAATACAATTATATAATTGAGGTAAAAATATTGATATCATAGTCCAGGAGAAAATTGTTATTACATATATTTAATTAAAATAATAAATGAAAAATTATATAAATCAGATTAGACTACTGTAAATTAATAATTTCTGTTGAATATTTAAATTTTAAATTGTATCTTAACGTCTAGCTCCACGTCTAGCCACACCACCTCGTCCTCCACGTCCTCTACCACCACCACGTCCTCTAGTAGGTGTTGTAACTGCTGGTGCCACTGGAGGTGGTACTTCAGCAGGCTTTTCTTCAACAACCGGTGCTTCAACAGTTGGAGATATTTCTGTTTCAGAACCTTCAGCTTCTTGCTTTGCTTCAATATCAGTGTCTATTTTAGATTCTTCTTCAGTTTCCATTTTAAATTCTTTTTGGTCTTCATCATCATCCAATTTGACACGTTTAACTGCTGGCTCCTAAATTATTTAAATACAAATGTATTTAGACATCATTTTCATAAATTATATAATTTAAATTAAAATATAAATAAAACTATGCTTTTATTTTTAGCTAACCTCAGAACTATTTTCCTCTTCATTTTCAGTTTTAACATTATCACTTTTGATACTATTACTGTTTTCATTCTCCATAACATTTTCATTTTGTTTGTTATCATTGTCTTCTTCAATTACCTGGTCAATGCTACGTTTTTTTCCTCCTGCAGTGGCCTCTTTCATTTTCGTCATAGTAGTGTAATTAATATAATGAGCAGCAGTTTGACAATGGATCGAAACACGTTGTTCATCAAGTAAGAAACAATTGCACAGTCTACATACAAATCCCTTTGAAGCAACTAATAATTCTTTTCCTGTTAAAAATATACAACTTATTATTAGCAACCAAAAAAATATGGTTCAATGAATCATTCTAATAAGTATATAATAATTAGTATAACATGTTAAAAACATTTGTGTTACTGAGTAAGTTTGAGTGACGTGCCAAGGAGGAGGATTTTGGATGTTCCAACTAGAACTGAGCAATTATTTTTAATAATATTTAATGATTATTCAACTATTTTAAATACAATATTCAAATAATCGTACAGCTGAATAATTGAATAGCTTATTTTTTTATTTATTAATTACTATTAATATTAATTTTAATTATTAATTAATTATTAATATTAATTCGATTATTACAGAGGAAAAATAACCACACAGTCCTGGTGTTCCAACCCTTCTCAAAATTTTAACTTAAAAAAAAAAGCATTGCTTAATATTTATACAATTTAAGATTAATATCATTAACATTTGCCAGAATTTTTTATAAAATCTAATGTCGATCTATTGTATACTAAAAAATTAATTATTATCAAAATGATTGTCTTGTAAAATTAATACATTTGGAATACGTGAAAGAAATATATTAAAACCCACCAAAAACAACTTCTACCCATAATCATTTTAAGTTGTATTAAATAACTACAGCCCGTGAAAGTTTTAACTGCCATCCCCATAAAGAACAATAAATAACCTTAAATTAGGTGAAATATCATAAGTCGTTATCATGCACATTTGACAAAAATCAGCTGTATCGGCTATATCAGAGGTAGCAAACTTGACAATGTGAACTTATTATAATAATTATTCGCTTTACCCACCAATTTAATTATAATTATTAATCATATTATCTGTTTGATTTATATATAGCAGCGGTGGGAAACTGGCGGCCAGCGAGCCTTTTTTATTTGGCCCGTTCTATATTTTAAAATTCCATCATAACATTTTTAAGTTTATCGTCCAACTTATTGATATAATAATTGTTATTTGGAATTAAATATCGTTAAATATTTAAATGTCATATGCATGTATACGTATAGCTTTCAACCATAGCTGTTTATATCGAATTTATTAATTCCGTATATATAAATGTTAATTAAAATTCATATTTTGAATGACCTTTTTTTTTCTTTCTATGCTCCGGCCAGCTAGATTTTAATTTTCTAAAAATTGGCCCTTTAGTAACTTTAAATTGCCCATCCCTGATATATAACATTATAGAAAATAATACGTAATGTAAAAAAAATAATAACAGGTTGGGAACCAATATTGGCGTTATACAAATTGATATACTAGGATTTGCTGAGGATTTAAACCTAATTGGAGATAGCATGGAAATGATTGAGCAGAATAAAATCAGTTGGGTTAAAAACAAATCAAGATAAAACGAAAGTGATGGAACTACTTCCCAATGGGGAAGAAAAAGTGGTTATCAATGACTATACTTTGATTAAGTTAAAGAGTTCAAATATCTTGGAACGATGATTACTAACAACAATGATTGAAGTTCCAAAGTCAAAAGTCATATACAAAAGGCAGAGAGGGCGTATTTCGCATAACATTTTTAAAACCAAAAGAATTTTCCAAAAGAACTAAGATCAGACTGTACATGACTATAATAAGACCAATAGTAACTTATGGATGTGAAATATGGCCCACTACTTTACAATTAGAAAAATAGCCGTTAGTTTTTAAAAATAAAATACTCAAAATGATTTATTTAATAGTGAGCTAAACAGATGGCGCAGAACAAAAATACTGAACTGAGATAAATCACTGAAGTTTCGTTGTTAACAAGACATATTAAGTGTCAAAGACTCAAATGGTTTGGTCATACTATGCAGAAAACAGAAACCACTAGTACGAAAATAGCAATCGAATGGCAATCAACGGGGAAAAGACCAAGAGGAAGGCCTAGAAAGAGAGATGGATGGAATAAGAAAAGAATTAGAAAGACTTAATGATGGATTGAGAAAATAGAGTCCAGGATCGTGCTTATTGGAGAACAGTGACGGTGGCGGCCAAAATTTTTAAAGAATTGTAAAGCCAAGAGAGAGAGAGAGAGAGACTATCTGTTTGATTTAAGGTCAAATTATTTTTTTTGCTACAAATTGTTCAGTTATTAATCATGAGAGTAATATTTAATATTGTGAAAAATTAATCTAAATATAATTAATAACAAATTCAACTTAATATATTACCAATAGCAACATTTGGATCATAAGCAGCAACTTGATCTTTATTAGCAACTAACTCGGAGTTAGTAGCATTGTCTTCTTTAACGGATTGATCATTAGTAGGATCTTCAGCAGTTGATTCATCAGTTGCAGCCACATCTGATGTTTCCATTTCTTCTTCTTTCTTTTCAATATTTTTTTCTTCCGATATTTTCTCATCAGTTGTATCAGTGGCAGTAACAGTTACATTAGTATCAGTTTCCGAAGATTTTTTCTTTTCATTGCGAATTTTTTCACCACTACCACCTTCCAGTTCTAATTTTAATTTTTTTGCGTCACGGTCACCAAGCATTTCGTATTTTTTGGCTACAGGCATTTGATCATGATCTTGCTGCTCTTCTTCTATACAAAAAAGATAAAATAAATATCACATTTAAATTTATAAAAATATTTTTTCTAGGATTTAAATAAGATAAATAATTCAATTAAATAACCTTCGATTTTAATCATATCAATCAAATCAAACTCATCATCTTTCAAATGAGGATTTTCTATAGTGCGTAATTCAGCTACTTTCTGCAATATAACCATAAAAATTAGCATGATTTAACTAAATATTTTAGATTAGCATTAAAAAGATTTATTGACCTTCAAATGTCCAGCAGTAAGTTTATGTTCATCCATCTCAAGTCTAGTATGGAATAATGAATCACACAATTTACATTCAGGATGCAAAAATTGTTTAAGCTTCTGTAAGATACAATACAAATTTCTTATAATATAGCTCAATATATACTCAAATATTAAGTTATACCCTGTGTCTATCACTTTTCCGATGGCCCGTGAGCGGACCATAAAAACGTACATCACACATAGGACAATAGCTACGTAAGAGTGGTTTGGAAGAATTAGAATTTCCTCCTGAATTTTTATTTCCACTGTTTGATTTATGTTTATTGTTTGTTACACGTTCCAAGTCAATTTCCCTTTGATTTTCAACAGCTTTTATTTGATGTCTCATAAAATCAACTCGCATTCTATAAGCTTCATCTAAGTAAGTCATCATCAATTCATGAGGTCTTCCACGAACGTGTTTTTCAAAAGACTAAAATAATACATTATTAATGATTGCAAATTTAGTGGTATATTGTGATTATTACCTCGGAATCCCACATATGTTTGAAGCATACATGACAATAAAGTACTGCAGAAGGAACACCAACATAAGATGCTTTTTTGTCAGCATCCAGTTGTTCCTTGGTTCTTTCACGTTCATTTTGTCTAAAATAACCAATTTAAAATATTATAATTTAAAAATTAAAAAAAAATCATAAATGTTTAATTTTAAAGAATCTTTAAGCCATTATAACTATGCAGACAAACTTGTGCCAGTTCATATAGAATTATTGAATCTATATTTATTTTCCTATTACATTATTACAGCCTGAAGAACCATAATGAATCTGGAAGTGTCGGTCTGCGAAATATGGTTAAGTATAACATAATATGTTGGGTGTAGGAACTTTTTTAATTTGTATAGCAGACCCTTATGCCATACTCTATCAAACGCCTGGTATACGTCAAGGAATGCACAGATACAGTAACGTTTTTTCCAAGGGTAAAGGAGACAGCGTCAACAACTCTATGGCTATTAGTCAAGTGCTTAACACTAGTTATGGGAATAATCGAAAAATCAGTAAACGAAATCAAAATAATTGAATAATCAAATGATTAATAGTCGAAAACAAAATAATAAAATAATCGAATGATTCATGATTTAACTGCTTGAACTGGTTGTATAAATAATCAAATGATTATCTATAAGCGTGAAAATGAAATGCATTTTCAATCCAAATGCAATTTATAGGTATTAACCCAATTAGTAAGACGATTACAGATACCGGAAATTATACCAATGATTAAAAATAAAATAAATAATAATACAATACTGTTAGACAGTTAACTTCTTATTTAGTACCTACATAATGGACAATGAGTAAAATACTCAAATTCAATTAATTTACTTTTGATAAATATGTCTGGTACCTATATTTGGATTATTAAAATCATACCATTATTTTTTTTTCAAATAATCGAATTATTCGATTACTCTCATCACTATTTAGCACGAAAACCAAATTGATAGTCTGATAAGATTTTTTTTTCAAACATATTAGGAAGGTTACGTTTAAGTAACGTTTAAGTATTTAGCAGAAAAACGGCAATAAGGTAATCGGGGTATAAAAGTTTATTAATGATTCAAGTAGTTAATTCGGTTTTGGAATCGGGGTGATTTTAGAAAATTTTCATAGAAAGGGGAAGTAAGAGTCTTAGGAAAGCATTGAAAATGTGAGTAAGGAAGGTGATGGCACATTTTGATAAGCATCTAGCGACTTTCGCTGTAATTAAATCGAATCCTGTTGATTTTCTAAATGAGTATTTTTATTTTGTAAAATTTAAGCAATTTAAAAAAATTCACTACAAGCATTTCTAATTTTTGATTTTTAATGTAATTTAAATAATAAACTATGGATTCTATAAACAATTTAAGTAATTGTAAATACAGAGAAATTTCTGAACAGTACACACCTCAGTCACCATTATTTTATTTGCTATTCAAAGAAACATTTTTGAAATTCATAGTCAATGTGTTTAAGCAAAAAATATACAGTAGGTTAAATTTAATTATTATGTTATTATTTATCATCAACAGATTTTATACAATGGCTGATAAATCCCTACATATTGATATAAATGAAATCTTATGATTTCATTTATATCAATATTCATTTATATCATTTAAATCAATAATCTTATGATTGAATTCTTTTCCTATATTCGTGTTCCCAAAACAGGTAATTTTTTCTTAAATTTTGTTTCACCAGACTTACAGTTCGTAATAAATTACACTGTCCTTACATTTCACTACTTTAATTTATTAAATTAAGCATGACATTTCAATTTTTAATCCACGTTTTATAAATGTCATCTTTATTATTTGCGATCTGTGTTTTTTCACCGACACGAAAATTTTCTACAAATATGCAAACTTCTAAGTTTCTGTTGTTTTGACAGAAATTTAAAATGTATTCACGAACTAACAACCCCCTATGTTTTAATAAACTTATAGCATTGAAAACCTTCACTAACGAAATACACAAAACATTGGCACATTGATATTTTTGTTATAAAGATTGCTTTTATTTGTTATCTTACCTTATCTGTTCCATAACAATTTTAACACGTTGAACGCCGGTGATGACGCGTAGTCGTCATCCGATGTAGGGCGCGCCCAGCCGATGACGATTCGTAGTCGTCATATCACAATTATTTTTGTATGTTATATAAAATAATCGGCTGTTGGCGAACGATTATTATATTTAGTACGGCCATTCAGTATAAGTATTAGAACAAAAACAAACAGCTGGTTTCGGTTTCCCGGCATTTTTATGCTTATAAATTCGTTATCAATATGAATAGTGTATAGCAGATAAACATTTATTATTTTTCTATTAAAATCGATTTTAACACGTGAACGTGTTACTTTAAAAGTGTTTTATAGTTATATGGAATTCATTAATATAAGTATTATATAGTATATTATAATAATATGAATTTTCAAGATAGCTCGTCAACGAGTTCTAACACTCAAAAAAGTATGAAAACAAATATTTTATCTGATAGCGAGTTACTGGATATTTTAGAAAATGGTAAGTTTTCGTCGGATGAAGATTTCGGCATTGATTCGAATGATGATGATGATGTATTGGATACAGGTAATTTATCAGATGAAAATGAAATAGACAATGAAGATAATAATTCGTGCAGTATTGATAATAATTTGTTGAGTTGTAATGAAAATCAATACGACTGGTTTACTAAATCCCCGACTGTAGAGAATATTTTCTTTATAGGTACACCTGGTATAAAATATATACCAGAAGGAGATCAACCTATAGATTACTTTAATTTTTTATTTACTGACGAATTGTTGGACCTTCTTGTCGAAGAAACAAATGCTTATGCGGTTGATATTTTACTTAGTACTACTTCAAATAATGCGCGAATTTCTACTTGGTTTGATACTAATAAATCGGAAATGAAGTTATTTTTTTCATTACTCTTCCATATGGGTGCAATAAAACTAGCTAGGATAGAAGATTATTGGAAGACAAACATGTTATTCAACATCCCATTTTTCCGCGAGTACATGAGTCGAAATAGATTCATGTTGTTACTTCGGGCTTTACATTTTTCTCGTAACACTAAAGAGGGGGAACTGGCTCCTAAAAATAGGTTATATAAAATTCAGCCTATTTTAGATTATTTTAATTCAAAAATGAAAGAAATCTATGAACCATTCAAAAATTTGTCGATTGACGAATCAATGGTTTTATGGCATGACAGATTAATTTTTCGCCAATACATACAAAATAAAAGGCACAAGTACGATGTAAAAATGTACATGCTCACCGAACCATGGGGACTTATTCATAGAGTAATGGTGTATTCTGGGAAAGGTCATGACGTATCCGAAGATTTGTCTCATACAGAGTTTGTGGTAGATAACCTTATGAATGGATTATTATATACAGGTAGATTTCTATTTATGGATAATTTTTACAACAGTGTGAAATTATCTAGAAACTTGTTGATAAAGAAAACATACGTAACGGGAACTTTAAGGCAGAATCGTAAAAATAATCCTATAGATGTCATAAGACAAAAATTAAAAAGAGGCGAAAGTATTTGTAGGTATACGAGTGATGGTATTTGTGTCGTCAAATGGAAGGACAAACGCGACGTTTTAATGATTAGTACCGAATTTCCTCATGAAATGATTGAAATTTATACAAAAAAAAAAGTTAAAAAAGGCCCATTTACGTAAAAAATTACAACGAAAACATGTCAGGTATAGATAGGCAAGACCAAATGTCCTCGTATTATCCATTTGAGAGAAAAACTCTAAGATGGTATAAAAAAATTGGCCTACATTTTATGCACTTGTTATTGTTAAACTCATATTTCTTGTACAACAAACATGTTAAAAAAATGAAATTGTATGACTACAGGCTTGCAGTTATACAAGGGTTATTGCCTGATAGTCAAAATATTCCAGTCAATTCAAAAAAAAAGGTATTCTGAAACTCATTTACCGTTAAAAGTTCAGAAAAATAGTAAAAAAAGATATATGTACAAAAGGTGCAAATATTGTTATTCAAAAGGAATTCGTAAGGATACTATATATTTTTGTGCCGAGTGTCAAGCCTGGCTTATGTTTAGAAGGTTGTTTTAAAGATTTTCACAAACAAACTTAAGTCTAAGTCATTTGTTATACATTTTTTTTTATGGTTTTCATTATTTTAAATAGGTATAAATTTTATTTTATGTTTTTCTTGTATTGAAGTCACAATACCATTTATTTTATTATTTTATTATTTGTTATATTATTACATAAATTAGTATTCAAAGTATTCAAAGTTAGTTTTATACTATAATAAAATATTTTTAAAGTCAATAAAGTATTATTATTATTATATTATACTATATTTTTAAATTTTATTATTTCTTATATGCAATTTATAAAACATGACGACACGTGGTCGTCAACGGCCATTAGACAGTATAGTATATTACATGGCCGATGACGACGCCTGGTCGTCACAAGCGTTATGTTATCAATATTTACGCGGCTGGGTAGGCGCGACCTCTGAAATATACGCGGACGTCAACGTGTTAATGAACATTTTTCTCTATAATTGTGTCATTATATTTAAACTCACATAAATATAGGTTTCTGTTATTAGAACGGCTTACCATTAAAATGTAATGTAAATGTTCCTAAACAATCATCAGTTATTGGGAGAGTTTCATTGCATTAATTAATATATTAATTTAATTATAATTACGTTCAATTTATTAACTTGTACATACTTTTGTGTAAAAACTTAAATAAATTTAATAGCTTAATTTGCAAATAAAATACTTATGTTTTGGTACTTATTTTTTATTATTGCCTAGTATGAATATAATTCTTCTTAAAATCAACAATTGAAACTAATAGCCAAATGGACACAACAAGGTGTTATACATCTTTTTAGAAACCTACAAATATCATAATATTAATAAATAAAGTAATACCCTTTTTTGTTTTCATCAGTGACTTTTCCAGCAGATTTACGCTTATCTCCATCCTTTGTTCCTCCTCCACCAGATTTACGACCACCACCAGAAAATCTATTATGTGGATCACCACCGCGTCGCTAAAAACAATTTTATTAATTAAATATGCATAATTTATTAATCGGTTACAAATTAGAACAAAAAAAAAAAAAAAAATGTATCGCTAAAATTTTAAAGCAATATATATATATATATTTTAATACCCTATTGTCTTTACTGTATCCTCCATCTTGTCTTTGACGCATTGGTAAATGTGACATTCTAGGACCACCACTGGCCCAACTACCACTTCGATTAGGACCGCCTCCATAACCACTACCAGGCTAAAAAAAAATATATAATATTTAATAAAAGAATAAAGAATTGTCAAATAATTACAAGTATTACAAGTACTAATTCATTAATACATTTGATGCGTCAAAAAATTAGTTGTAACACATTGAAAGTATCACAAAATGTATTTATATTTCTCTATAAGTGGCTAACATTTGTTTATGGTACTACATTTGGTTCTGAGTTCTCTTTCTCATTTTCACTACTGTTCCCATTAACTACATTACCTTCACTCTAACTACTTCCACTGTACACATTTTCAGCATAAGATCAATTCATAATATGTTTTACATCATCCGAAGTCAATATTCCTTGTTATTTTTCATAATCTTTTATTCGTATAACCCATTGGATTATCCATTTATATTATATAAATGATTATATTAATTATATAATTAATGTTTACATATGACAAGAGACACTAGATTTGTAGCACTAACTGAAATAATACTATTTTAAATAATATCGACGTAGAATATTATATTATCTATCAAAATATTTAGGCATTTAACAATATTAGACAACAAATTATTTGACAAGATAAAAAAGCAACAACAAAAATAATTGTTTTAAAATGGAGAGAACTCAAATAACAAATATTTTCTATAGATAGGAGTGTTTAAAAATAATAACTCTACCGAAGTACGTCACCATATCAGAGAACTTCTATTTCAACAAAGCTGTTGTCGCTTATGACTAACAGTCGCAGTGAATGTACTAATAAGTGATTAAATAAATTTTTATTTTTAATAGATTTACTTAGGTACCATGGAATTAGACGATGTCAATAACTTGCTGATTATGTTACTAGCCATTGCTAATTGAGTGGGTGGAGGGTGTCCAGCTTGCTGTGGCTGTCTAGGCAGTGGGCCTCCAGCACCAGTGCTAGATTGCCATGGATTGACAGATCCAGCACCTCCAGTCCTGTAACCACCACCGCCACCGCTATTGTATCGACCACCACCAGCTCCGCCATAACCACCGCCGCCGCCGCCGCCTCCGCCGCTACCATATCCTCCGAATCCACCACCGCCGCCGCCACCACCACTTCGTCGATTGTAGGCCATTACAATGTTCGTGCAGATATACGTAGATAACGAAGTGTATAGCAAAAGTGCCGACAGTAGCTCTGATTGTAAATATTTGTTACACGCCCGATCGACGGTGGAAACGGTATTTCACTACGCCGGTAACTATAAGAGTTGTAGACAAAAAGAAATTGAGATGATTGCACACGAACAACGATAGTGGTATAAAAAAAAGAACTATGAAAGAAAAACTTATGAAAGCACACACAGACAAACAAAGTCGACAAGACGCGGACCGACAATAAAAATGGCGTCCAGTAGGAGCGTAGGATAATGTGGGTCGTGTTTGCTCGCTACCGGTGGCACCATCGCCGATTTCGTGGCGTCGGCGGTATCAACAGTCAACAGAGTAGCCAACATGACGATCTAGAGAGTCGACGGCCGGATCAATAACGTAATATCTCGTACGGCGTGTCGGTATCGCGTGAGGAAGTAGTGACGGTGTTTATTTTGTCGCCCATTGCTGCCGGTGATGATGACGTGTCACGGGTCCCGCGTCAATGTAATTTCGTTATCGATTTTCATCCGTCTCGTTGCCGCATAAACGGGTAAAGAAATCTAAACGTCAGCTCGGCAAACGTGATCGGACGGCCGCTAGCCATTTATAATTGTCGCGCGTTCTCAATCGCGGCTTGTCAATGTCGTAATGTTAATAAAACGATTCGGCGATAAATTGCGATCTTAAATTAACGTGGTATAACAGTCGTAAACAATGTTTAGAAAGTTTGTTCCAATAAAGTATACAACACATTTAATGTGTTTTCATTCATTTTTAGATAGTGTACTAGATGTTTATTAGAGCACGACCGCATTTCGTGTTCTTTGAAAGTGTTCAGTTTCTGTGCGCTTATTTTACGTGGTTATCTGCACTCCGGACATTTCTATTACAGTAGGCAGTAACGTTCGTAAAATCATTGAGCGATAGAATTATTTAATTATTTTAATGATACACTGATATTCCAGATGATTTAATTAAGACGTAATATTAGGTTACTAAAAAAAAATTATTCGATACAAAAACATTACCTTACGTTACTATTGGACGGTTAGACACCGAACTAAGGACTCTCTAAATGACACTAGTTGCATATTAGTGTACATATTTATACATTTATGGTACTTATGCATGTATTGTGTACCCACGATTTAATACATTCAAAAGAAATTGTTTATTATATTAGTAAAGAACAACGTTGGTTAAAATACAATTTACTTCAACTATTTTTAGTTAATTCATTAAAAAATAATGATTTATTTAGCTCGGTTGAATACTACTATAATAATAAATATTCATTAAGTTAAAATTTTCAATACATTTGTTTGTATATACATTTTATCACATACAATTGTTGTGTATAATTTAATCATGTTGGTATATAATTATTGTTAATTATTTAAACTAGATATATTACTAGTTGACCTAGCAAACGTAGATACGTCAACAAATCATTTTTGTAAATTATAACTGTACGGTGTATCTATTGAAAATAATAAATAAATTCATTATAATTAAAATGTTTAAATATCCACGTCAATTGCCAAAATATCAGAGGTTAATTTTAAAGACAACTACAATATTTTCAGTTAACAGTTTCATTTATATCCTGTAATTTTCTATTTCTTACTGATACATAGCTAAATTCGATTTTAATGATTGTGAATTAGGTTTAACTAATTTTAATGTAGTTCAATCTGATAGTTTTGATCTCTTATTGAATAGAGATTGGGATGTTTTAATTGCTATAAACGATTATTTTATCAATGAAAACATTCTATTGCCAACATTAATAGCATTGCATTTGTATGTGTTAAAGTAAATTATAATAATTTTGAACTTATTTTAGTATGTCTTTATATTTTACCAAATTTCAAATCTAACCTATACTCTGAGTGTTGTGTTATTATTGAAGACTTAATATTACAACATAAAAATACTAACATTTTGATATTTTTTTAGCGATTTTAACCTAAATGAGTTTGTTTGGAATGATAATGTTTTATTGTCGAAATCTTAATAATGATGAAATAATTGTAAATGCATTAATAAATATTAATGTTTAAAACAATTTAATAATGTAATTAATTCTTCTGGGCGTATATAAAACTTAATTTTTTCAAATTTAGAAGTAGGTTCAGCTATGACAGGTAATTCACTTGTTTTTCTTAATGATAACTATCACCCACCTATTTAATTTTTAATTAATCACAAATTTTTTACTGTTAATTCAAATTTTTAAATGATTTATTTATTTTTAATTTTAATAAATCTATTTATTATAATCTTTGTAGTTTTCTTAATGAATGTGATTCAGTAGAAAATTTGAAATTAGTTGACTCAGATTTAGCCGTCGTTTTATGAAATATTAAATCATGCAATTGAAATGTTTGTTCCTAAAATACGTCTTAATTTAAACTATTCTCTTATTTAGACAAATCTAGAATTACATAAATTGATTAATTTAAAAAAAAATTGCTAATAAAAAATATAATTTAAAAAAAGAATTATGATGACTACTATACATTTTTTAATCTCAGAAAGAAATGTAATACTTTGTCTATTCAATGTAATAATAATTATATAATAAAAATTGAAAACGATGTTATTAAAAATTAAACCTTTTTAGAATTATTTAAATGGCTTAAAAAAGATGTTACCTGTTTTTTGTATAATGGCACAACTTCAGAGTTTAATAAAGAATCAGCTGCTTTTTTTAAAGATCATTTTTCATCGGGTTACGTGAATAATAACGATAACATTGACTTAATTTTAACTTAACTTTATCTGCCTAAATGTTATGCTTTTGATTCTAATATTAAGTATAATATAAATCTTAGCTCTTTCCAGTTATATGTTAGCGAAGTTAATGATTATTTATCTACTTTAAGTATACACGTGTTGGTCCTGACAATATCACCCTTGTATTTTTAAAACAGTTCTGTAAACTGTAGTTTAAGTTTGTCTTGGTTATACCATTATAATATGTATTTAATAGATCTAATGCTCTGGGTGTTTTTCTTCTTTTTGGAAAAGGTTTTTTTGTTACTCCATTAGTTTTATGCAAAACTGATAATATTTCTGATCTTTGTAATTATAGATCAATCTACAAAATGTCTACTTATACTATACCTAAAATATTTGAGGCTCTAATAATTGTTAAATTTTCAGCTTTAATGAATAATTGTTTATCTAAATGTCAATATGGGTTTCGTTCCAAACATTCAATTGTTACAAATAATCTAATACTTCAAACTGACATTTTCAAATTGATTGTATGTATTGTATTATACATTGAATTAAATTAAATTAAATGATTATGATGGTATTCATGATGTATGTTTAAAATGGTTAGTCTTATATTATATATTAGTGAGTCTTATCTGTATTGCCGCCAGGGCTGATACCTAAAATTAAGTATCTAAATACAAGATACAAGATACACTTCTGGTTCGTATCTAAATATAAGATACAAGATACCTCGATATTTTTAAAGATACTAGATACAAGATACAGGTAGCTGAGATACATATAAGATACAAGATACTTTATACATTTATTAATATTTATTTAATTGTTTATTCGTTTACATTAGATACAATAAAAAATAATATAAATATATTTATAAATTACAATGTTTATTTATTAACTATTAAATATTTAAATTTAAAAAAAAATGATAGATAGTATTATAATAAAAGTTTTTTATATGTTATATCCCATATTTTAAAATAAATTCCTGGTTACCTTTTAAAGAGACTAATTTCAATTAATAATAATAAATAATTATATATATAACTAATAAATATTAATAATTATAAATAATAAATTATTTCAATTTTCAATTCACATTTATTATTTCATCAAAATTTAATATTGTAAAGAATATTCCATCTAAGGATTTTGGAATATTAACAATTACATTATTATCCATGTTTTCAGTAATAGATGTTTAAAATTGAACGACACTATACAAACACCGCGTAGGCAGAAAATATGAACCAATCATCGTACCATCACAGTCTAAAATAAATGTTTAGCGCGATAAAATTAAGAAAACATTCTGCCGATAAACCGGATTTATGTAACTTATGATTACAAAATTTGTTCATAATAAAGATTATATTTAACTTTATTATGAGCAAATATTGTTTAAATTGTTCATTTATCAAATGAATACCTTCGACGTGAAATTTAATAATTATTATTACATAACAATATATTGTATCTAGAATCTTTAATCATAAAAAATACTAGATATAAGTTAAAAAATTATTTAAATCCACGATACCAGATACATTAAAATAATGTATCTCAGATACGTATCTTAAATACTAGTATCTAAGATACTGCCCAGCCCTGATTGTCGCAACAAATTTAATTATTGGATACTTTATCTGATGATTTTATTGCTTGTTCAAATGTAACTCAGGGCTCAAATTATGGATTTGTGTGTTATTGTTTATTTTAATTATTATAATTTTACTAGTAGATACTTAATTTCTTTGTTTTCTGTATCAATGTGAAATTATTATCTTCGTTGTTAATTATACGGCCAACGCATTTTTTCTTATATTTTTGTCGTCTCTTTGTCGTTGTTTATTGCCGTTTCGATCTTCTCCACGCATTTTTTATTATTATTATTGTTTTACATTCAATCATTATAAATATTTTCACGCCATTACGGCTCATCACTATTTACACATCTGTTGTATGCTATTGCAGTACAATTGTATGTTCACTCTTATTATTCTCGCCATTGGAGACAGTTGTATACAATTATTATATTAGGCGTTATTTATTCATCGTGTAATTCAATGAAAACAAAAACAATAACTATCATCACCGAGTTGCCAGCAATTAATCCCGTTACCAAATAAATTTTGTTGTGTCTTCGTTCCGCGCATTTTTGTAGCTAGTTGTTGTCGTCCATACGTGATTGTTGTGTTGTTGAAACTGTTTGGTTTATCAACGTGTAAGACCACCAGCACCCGGTGCAGCGTGTGCGAGGCCACTCAGGTCTCCTAGAACTCCACACCACTTACCGATCACCCGTTTTCAGTTACAATCATCTTCGTCGTAGTTTATAAGGTTTAGTTTTAAGAAATATTTGTCTGATTTTTATAAGCTCAGTGGTCATTACACCAGACTGATCCAACATAAGAGACTCCCCTCCCAATAAATAAACTCATTGTCCTGCACTCCCATTTAGGCAACTTGAATCCTTTACTACTCGTCGCGTCGTCCTAAATACACGTACTCAGATTGCGTGCTACGTTACCGTATCCAGATTATAAGGCGTTGAAGTTTAGTGTAGTATAAATTGTGTACAAACCAAAGTTGGGCGCCACATCAATTATTATTATTTTCTTATTATACCGTCATTCATTGACTGGTCTTTCGTTGTCGTTATAACATTAACAGTTTAAAGTGTAGTATTAAGCGGCGTTATAAATAATTAGCTTGGTATTGATTGACGTATACGATAAATGTGAATAATAAAAGCAATTCTTTTTTTAAAGAACATAATTTTAATTTATAACTTGTTACTGGCTAGATTTGTTATATTTAAATTATTCATCATTACCTATTAGTTATCTGTATAATAACGATGTTGACAAATTTTAATTATGGACAATACTGTTTTGCTATTGAGTATTGAGGCACTAAAGACTAAATATTTCATTATCTTATTTATTCTTTAGTACAAGTACTTCATACGTATTTAATATATATATATATATATATATATATATATTTTATATGTATATATATACGTATATATACGTATTTATAGTATGAAATTAGATAAAATATTTACATTAACACTGTCTTGTTTATTTTTGCTAGAGAAATGTTATTTTTTGTTAATATTGACAATTAAAAAAAAATTATTAATAACAATAATTTTGAAAATTTATTTATCATTTATTATGTAATAAAACAACTAATTATAATAATACTAATAGTAATAGGTATGTATATATTTATATATATATATATATATATATATATATATATATATACACATACACATACACGTATTAATTTTATGTTAGATAATAATAATAATAATCGGTACTTGTAGTAGCTATTAGTAATGGTATAATATACGCATATAATTGGTTTTGTAAAAATTCTAGTACTTTTTTTTCTAAAGCTATTCAATAAAATTAATTACAACACCCCATAAACGTACAATAAATTAGAAATACAAATAGTAATAATGATAATAATAATAATAATAATAATAATAAAAAAAATTATCAATAACAAAAACAATAATATATATTTATTATTATAATTTATAATAATTCATATTATTATATTTATATATCATTCAATATATATTATAATTATAATAATAATCTCTATTTTTCGACTACTCATAAATATTTATTTAATAATTAATATTCTATGTTGTCTTGTTAAAAATGTAAATACAAATATTACGAAAAACATTAATAATTAGGTATAAATAATATTATTTTAATTTCGATGATGATAACTTATAGTAAAATTAATTTAAATTTTTTGAAAAAAAAATGCACACACACACACACACACACACACTGCTAATAATAATTAGTAATAATATATAATAATTTTACATTGAATATTATGTAAAACTCGCGATTGTTTTAGATTTGGTCGAATTTTTGCATTTTATAATTATAGATAATCTACTCTAATCTTCACACATTTACGTGTTTTCACGTTAAATTAATAGACACTTTTTAGTTTTAATATAATAAACAGACGTCAAACATGTGTCGTAGGTACCATTATTTTATTTAATCTTATACATTTATCAAACACGTTGTTATATATAATTTGTATTATATAAGTAAAAAAGTTTTATAATTTAAATTAGTAAACTAACGCACGAACACACAAACTCACACATACGCGAGTGTGCATGTTTGCAGTGTCGGATCTAGGGGGGGGAGCAATTGGGTATGCTTGCCCCAGGCGCAGTTGGTATAAGAGCGCTATTAAGTTAATGAAAAATAGAAAAAATCATGAATATACCCCATATATCCGCCTTCGGACGCTAGATTTTTAGGATTTTTTTTTTAGATTTTTAGGACGCTGGATTTTTATTAGCCCCGGACATCAAATTGCCTAGATCCGGTACTTTATGTCTGCGTGTATTTGCGTGTATAAAAATTAAACATAAATTCCGAAACATAAATATCTAATAGTAACGACGCGATAGTTTAGAAAAAAAAATTGATTATAATTGAATAATATTACAGTATCTAAAATATTATATTTAAATTATAGGTACTACATAAACACGTGTAAATATAAAATACTCGATCAGAGATATTATTTTAGTATTATGTCAATTGTAACATACTTTTGCGTTAATCATATAAATCATATAAATGAACATATATGAAAAGTAGATATTAAAAAAGAAATGTGGGAAAAGGAAGACAAATAGGAATCTGGAACACAGAGATAATACGACGTTACGTTTAAAAACAGATTTAATTAATTGCTCAATGTCACGGCCGATGGATATTGACTTGCAGTGTAGGTATTTATATAGATTATAAAAATGTAAATGAAAAATTAGGCCGGTTGAGATGATCCGAAATGCGAATTTAGAATTTTAAATTTCGATATTTATTTATAATAAATTATATATATATATATATATATGTATGGCTAGATCAATGAACGTCGATGACAGTATTGTTGTACTTTTGTTTTATTACTTATTAATTGAATTTTTTTCTATTATCTAATGTAAAAATGATAGTGGGAATCGTTGCGAAACCTGCGGCGCATCTTAAACCGGAGGTTGTGACGATTGCTTTCCCGATCCAAACTTTCCGGTAGATGACGACGAGGATTTTATGCGAAGAGGGCTCACCGTTGCTGTGTACAACGGTTTGTTGTTGGGTCTCCGTTTGAGCGATTCCCGGCGTACCGTGTACGACACCACAACTAGCACGGACACCAATAGGACAGCCAACACGTTCACCACCATCGGTTCCTTGTTCAAGTGTAATTTCTGTTTGATCAGCTCGGATAATACCCGTTCATCGTTTCTAAAAAACAACAAGAAAAAAATATTAATTATACTTGTATTACTATGTATTCATACTACACCGATCAAAAAGAAAATAATATTTACAGGTTTTCAAGTGTAATGCGCATGATATGCATTGTTGCACCATATCTCTAATATTTTACTAGGCACCATTGTAAATATAAACATTAAGCATTTGTGTGTGCATTGTAGATAGATATACCAAATGAAATGTTTGAAAACTAAATTACTTATTTTAATAATTATGTATTTAATTATAAACTATATTATACTGTTGTACAATACAGTGTGAAGTAGTTAATGTATCATATTTAAGGCGCGGAACGGGATATTTTTGCTCGATTGCAAAATGAAAAAGTTTAAACGTAGAAAATGCGATTTTTTCATAACTAAAAAAACATAGGATTGTGTTTCGACGTAAAGAAAAAAACTTTTCATTCATTTATATTATCTGGATATATTTTGAACAGAATATTGAAAATTAACTTTTTACAAGATAAATTCCAGCTAGATCAATAGTTAATAAGTACGAATATATCTATTGTTGAAACAACTTGAGTGATCTCTGATAGTCATACAGACATCGAATAAAATTAAGTAATAGTTAAGTAATAATTAATAATTAGTAATAACTAATAATTAAGGATAAATGTTGAGGTTCGTAATTTATTGTTCACAAAGCATTTGTTATTAATTATAGACATATAATAGGTTGTAATAGGTATAGACATAATTGAAATCCTTAATTGCAAATTAAATGTGTTTCAGATGTAAAATACTCTAAGACTGACCGCAGCGTTGAAACGATGTGTATACTACGCACATCCATTTACAAATGATGGCAAACAAAGGCAAAGTGAAAAGAGGTAAGGAGACTGAATAGGTATACAAGAAATTACACACCAACTCGCATGATATTTATATATAATAATAGACCCCAAGCGTACCTCGCTGTACTCGTGTATATATTGACGAGGACATAAAACGCAACAAACTTTTAATGCCATAAGAATACAAGCTGTTAACCGAACAACGCGAAAACGTAGGTATTGTTGAGTTCCCAACGAACACATCGCAATTACGATATCGTACCAGTATTGTACGAATCGGTCGCCGTTGTAGCGCAGTCGCGTTTTAACGTATTAATGTGCACGAAACATGACAGTGTAACACGTGGTATAAAGGTATTTTCGACTTTCGTGCGAGTGAATTCCCGATCGTGAGTCAACCCGTTACGTACACATTCGTCGCCGAAACCACACCGCACCACCACCACCACCACCATAAGCACCATAAGCACCGACACCGCCGCCTTCTCAACCTTCTCCGTTAGACGTGCACCAGTGATAATAGTAACAGTAGTAGTAACAACGATAATAATAAAGTAGTGGTATACCCAACGACAGACTTCCGAAACCGTCCGCCGATTAGACCGTAGAGCTCTGGTTGTAATGGACAGGTACTGTTACGTTGTCGTGCGCGTGAAATCAGTTCAACAGCCGTCGGTAGTGCTTTGATGTCCTCTAATTTTTAAACGCCGTCGTCACGTTTCTCGAAAGTCGCAGAAGTGTTAATATCGTATTGTATACGTATACATATACATATATATATATATATATTTTAGATGCATAAAGACGAAAAGGACCAGGCGTCAAGTACTTTGTGACATGTTACACGAATAATACGTCTGCGTGTTGGTCTTTCGATTCGCATACTTTGTACGTACACGTGCTTATATTTGCATGATTGTATATTGTAATAATATTGTATTGGAAGCGGCTCTTTTGGGTTTGTTTATTTATTTATTTATTTATTTATTTTTTTTTTTTTGATTAGTTTTTCAACGTAATATTATAATGACAATAGTCTAGAAGTGTGCATGTGCGTCCAAAGCGTTGCAACGCGTTCAGTCGCAATGACGCCGTTCTTGTCGCCATCGGATCACATTCTGCCGTTTCGGCCGCTATGATCCGCGACCGCACCGTCCGCCGCCACCGAAGACGGGATCAGCTGGAATGTCTGACCGCCGTTCCTGCAATATCTTAAAGCGGACGGCCGCGCACCACTACCGTGGGTTTTCCTCTGCAATAATAGCGCGGCTGTGACGAACACCAGAGTCAACATCAACAGCACTCCAATGACGTTGGTCACGACCTGTTGCGGTAGCTCGCGTTCCTGCAGCGCAGGTTTGCCCGAGAACGACGACCACTGTTCCTGTTGCTGGTGCCTAATTGATTCATGAATTAAGTTTATCGGTAAATACCATATGCCAATTGCGCTACACACATATGCATAACATGTATGTATTTGTCGGTTATGTATTTTATAATAACACGTACAGGTAGTGATCCTCGTAGGTACCTACTTTTATGCCTCAGCTGCGCATATATCATAGAATTAATTATACAGTATTGTCACCGTTGAAATATACAATGAAATGTATATTAAGTTAATTTTTGTTGAACAATAAAGATGGCGAAACCCTGAGACTTAACCCGATTGTCGTGCAAGTAACGGGACGTAATTCGAACTTTGTGTGCATCACTGAGACGTATAGACTGTAGTCGTATAGTTTGCACACACATATAAAATGAATGGTATGAAAAATTCCAAATTTTACAAAAATTGAGTTCAAATGAAGATTGGAGTAATATCCTTGTCTTATTGAATGAGTGATTCACTCAATAAAATAACTTAAAACATTCTCGAAAAACATAGCAAATCTTATAAATCACTGAAAAATCGCTAAAAATATGTGTAGATGAAAAAATGTCAAAGTTTTTCATTCGGATCATTGATTTTAGAATATAATGTAGAAATACGCCATTCTAACGTTAAAATTGATAGTGTCTACGTAATAACCAGAGTTTAAAGTGGCAAAAAATAGCTAGGGGGATTCTAATCCATATATCATTCTCAGCATTCCATACAGTTCCATACAAGTAATAGATAATTAATTACAAATAGGTAAATATTATATGTTAGCTAACAATTTCCTCTACAAACTATTTAGGTATGTGCAGTAAAAATGTATAAACTTGAAAATTACTTACTTATTGTTTTAAATATAAGTAAGTAAGTAAGTAAGTTATTGTATTAAATATAAGTATATATTACTATATAATTTATATTTAATTTTATTTGTAGAATACTGTTTAACACCTAGTGACATCAACTATGATTATTTTTAACAAACAGTTGAGTGTTTCAGTAAACTTCTCGAAGAAATGTTAAAGGGGACCCTTTATAAGCACTGTGAGGTAGGAGGACTGAGTCATCTTCTACCCTCCCCCCCCAATTTAAGCCCTGAGTAGGACGCAGCCACTAGACATCGCTAAAATCATTTGAATTCGACTTGATAATTAATTAATAATTTTCTATTATTGAAAACCTATTTTTATCAAAGTGAAAGCAAATAATTAAAGCCATGTCTAGTGGCTGCGTTCAAGTAGACATTTACATTTATTAAAAGGATGATCACCATTTAATAGCGTACTTTTATATTCTAAAATCAATGATTAAGATTTGGATAACCTTTGATAAAATTAACTACTGCATATCCTGTATTCAATTTTTTTTTTTTTATCGTAATAGATAATGAGTAAAGTTTTTTATGTAGCTTTATCATAAAAAGAATAGAATACAGAAAAAGAGAAAAATATTCATCGTGGAACCGATAAATATGTTATTTCTTATTTACTTTTTTTATTTCTTAAAAATTATCTAAAAACACTCGCACACACATATTCCTGCAATGAAAGTAATATTTTATATCTTAAATCCTTAAAACGAAATACAAACCCGTTATTGTTGAAAATCGTGAAGTCTGCGCGTTGTTGAAGTCCAGTGAGACAAGTGGCTATGGCCAGGGTGAACGTGCACAATCCTAGAGTAGCGTGTATAGGCGCGAAACATCGTAAGCGACATACGGCTGTCGCGCCACGGCAACACAATAACACCACGAATGTGAACAATCCAAGAGTGAACTGAAATAAAATATTATGTAATTAAAATGTAAGGCCCGGCACGTGTCGCAAACTGGATGACAATATACATGCTACGAGCATCTATAATATCAATTATATTTACCTGTATAACAAAAAGTGAAACTGTCAAAAATCCCATCCAACTGTGTAAAGAATACAAATGCGGCAAATGTTTTAAACGGTGATATTCCATGGCAGCCACTGCTCCAAACACCACACATGGTACCGTGGCTAAATGTAATAATCCATGTGTTAACTTCACGTAAGTACCTCTGCATGAAGTTGAACATCCGGCAGCCATTCTGTATACCAATATAGCTACGCATATATGGAAATATAATATTATGAGTGAAAGTGATAAACCGAAAATTTAAAAGGCTTTATACATATAAAACTAAATGTTTATATATATACGGCTGTATAGAAGTTATCGATTAGAACGTTCTCCCTAAAAGATAACAGTTTGTCAATTTGTATTATTTTAAACGCGGTCCACCTTAAAATCTAATTACTATTACTTAGTTTAAACATGTACGAAGACACAAAATAGATTGAATAAACCATTTCAAAAACCTATTTAATATTAATTTGTTTATTTCATTACACAGTCTTCACATTACATTAACTATTTAACTATTAGAATTTAAAATCTTATTACAACTTTAGTAACTTGTTAAAGTTTTAACATTGCGTTAAAATTAAAATTAATTTTGCGCTTATGTACATAAAATACGCTCATAATTTTTCAAACTACTTAATGCGAGCGTTTTAATTATGTACAGTTATTTTATAAAATGTTTTAATGACATGATTAAATTTTAATTAAAAGCCGTTTGAACGTTAAAATATACAATAAGTACGCACTGAATTTGATATATGTTTATATATTTTTTTTGTGGGAGTAGTGATTTTTTTTAACTTACAAAATCCTGTTAAGGTGACAAACCCGATCGTCATCAGAGTCGGGTGTAGGTTGAATCTTCGATCTTCGATCAAGATATTTGAAGACGACGAGTTCAGCTGTGCGGATTGCTGCTGTTCTATCGTTGTCGCCTCAGTCGTCGTAGTAGTTATGCTAATGTCACCGTTGAGTTCGCCGCCGGCAGTGAAGTTTTGCGGGTGCTTGTAAGTAAAAACGCCAACAGACAGTAGTTGCTTCGGAGTTTGTGGCGGCCAAGGCAACCAATTTGGATCGTATCCACCTCGGTAGGCCATAGTCCAATATACGGTTGTGCCGGTGACAGCTAATAGCAGAATTGTGCATGCCGTTACCAGTACAACGTACTCAAATGTGGTCCCACACCCCAAAGCTGCTTGCGAGTTGTTCGTTCCGGGATCCTCCACGTCCGCTCCACCTCCCGCACCACTGCCTGTTGTATAACGAGACCTGTACACAAATAAATTAACAAAGCTTATTTAAATGGTTTAATAGTGTTTATAATTTTAAAAGTTATGTCAACATTAGTTTTTATCGTATTTACGTGACTATTGAAAATAGATTTTCCCTATCTTTAATAAAAAGCACGGTGTGTCATAACGAACGATAAAACAGTCGACTCGATTCCCGATTATTCGCAATTCTGTTCACCTGAGCCAATAAGTGGCGTTTTTAAGTTGATCTTGTCTGATTAGTAAGAAAAAACTCATATGTTCTTATGAATTGACCATTTGACCATATTTAAGATTCATATGAATATGAATAATCAACATTTGATTGCTTGTAATATAACACGATCAGTTCATTTTATGAGTCACAAATCAAAAATAAATCAAGTTTTTTGTCAAAGCAAATAAAATAATTTGAATCGCTAGTTTAAATTTGACACTTCGGTAACTCTCCACTTTGTTCAATTTGTTAGTAACTAAATACGTATATGATTTATTCATGACGATTTCACATATTTCTATTTAATTCGTCATTTTATCGACGTAACCTATTGTTGTTACATATTAATTGGATATCGAAAATAGGGCACATAACTTTTAAAGTTTGAAATCGTTAATTGTTTTTTGAGTTAATAATATTTAAGATTTAACCATCTACACTTATCAAAGCAAATGTGTATGTTTTGTATTTATAATAAATTTATATTATATTGAAGAGGATGCACATAGATTTTTGATATTCATAAATCTTTGATATATATAAAAATGGTGTAACTTTACTTCAAGCAAATAATAAATTATACTGGCTACTTAGAAAAGTCCAAGGGAAAATTTTAGTAAGGCACAATTCACTGTGAATGCCCATTAGATAAATATTTTAGTTGAGGAATGTCACAGTAAATTAGATAAAAGTAGTCTAGGGCTACAATAACAGTTTGACGGAATTGCATAAATATTATTTAAAAAAAATGATTTTATTTTTCTGAGTAATTGGTATTACATTTTATATAAATAAAGCCTATATTTATGTATCGTCTTTAGAAATATAGGTTCAGCCACGCAAAGCTTTTTAACCAATCTTGATTAGTTTTACTATATTATGTTCAATAAGAGCTTTTTTTTATTTCAAAGTTATGTCTTGACTAAATTTTTTTTAAATAAAATAAATATATATATATGATATTAATTAAATAAATTGAATTATTTGTAATTTTTGTTAATGTTAAAATGTAATCATAAAACTACTTACAGTAAAAAAAAAACATTATGCACAAGAAATCGATAAAAATAATTAGAATTTGTAGCAAGGTAGGAGTCGTTTAATTTAATTTCTGCAACTGTTTACTTTTGAAAACGAAGAAACATCGTAATTAGATTTTTGAAAATGTAATTAATTACTTTGTGCAAAGAAAAGCAATAGTAACAGTCTTAATAAAATATGGTTAATACAATAATAATGATTATACCTACATTAAATTTCATATCAAAAACTAATCCATTACCAACAGAGTTTTACTTATTTTTGTACGTTATCAAAATATAATACTAATAATAAAAGAGTAGATACTGATCAAGTCTGAAAAGGAGGTTTTAGCAAAAATATATAACATACTGTAATACTAAAATAATAATGCTTCAGTCTATCATTGAAGTCCGTTTAAAAGGTCTATTATTGTGTTAAAAAATGTTTTTAATTTTATCATATATTTTAAGATATATATTTATAATTTTTAACTATGCCTTGATTTCTATAAAACGTATATTCTTAACGTTTATTTTTTAATCGTTATACATTTACGTATAAGATTTTAAATTGTACAGATAAATATAATTCGAGTTTTGATTTTTGTTTTCTATTTACATTAATGTTGAATCATTTTTTATAATAAAGGTTTGGTTTTTAATATTCACAATTAATTTATTATGAAAAGGTAATTTTTAATTAATGTATCCGTGCAATAAATTGAAATTATATTAACACATTTATTTTAACAATTGTGTCAACTATATCTTCACGCTACGATTTTTCACGCTTTCTCCTTCATTACGCGTATTATAATTCTTATTACAAACTTATTTCTATATTTTTAGTAGTTGGCTGATATTCTCATTACTTTTATATATTACGTATTATGTATAAAGTATACTATACGTGTGATTCGTTTTAGTCGTATTTTTGGCAACTCATCGCCTATAGGCGTTCGCGTCAACGGCATTGTTCACAATGCACACAAAAACACGAGAAAAAATTTTGTTAAAAAAAAAATCACATCGTAGGATTTTTTTTCAATTGTTAACTACTTTTATTTCTTATACCGTGTTCTTCGGTCCTCCATTCCTTCCTCACCTCTTGTCAGTCGGTTATGCATGCACGATTATCGAGATCGCCATCCACCGCCACCACCGCAACAACCATCCTTCCCGATCATTTAACTGTCATCGCGCAATATCCTAGGGAAATCGGCGCGATACGGTCTTGGAGCAGTATTTAGAAAAAGTATATTATTAAAGAAACGCCGACGTGTTTTATTAATAAAAAAAAAGACCAAGAGGATATCCTCGAACATTCCCGTTACCGCGCAATAGCACAGGTCATTAACACCACTATACAATATAGAGGGAGTGGCGGCGGCATGACGATCGATCGATTAAATTCATATAACGACGGGACTTAACGCATATACTTTGTAGGCATATTTATTCTGCGTAAGTGTGCTCTTCACACGTACAGGGTGATTATAATAATAATATTATTTTGAACCATGATTTATCAGGGAGCGATTATTTCTAAGTACTATTAGTAGGTAGTAAGTACACTTAGGTAAAAAGCATACTGTCTATACAATATTTATAGTTGTAAACTCTTCTTTTTATTATATAATCTTAACAAAATGTTTAAAATATTTATTTATCTTAAATCAGTGATTCGTATGATTTTCTCTGATTTCTAAAAAATGTAGGTATATAGATATTTTATCGGATCGTGTACCGAGATTGTTTATTTGAAAATAGAAATTTACTTGCATGCAATCATAAGCGATTAAAGTTTGTATAAAAAGGGGTGTAATTGAATTGTTTTTCTCGTACACACCTATATTATACATATTAATCGTTCCGCTACTACCTTTATACGTTCTTTTTATTTGTGTTATAAACGCTTATTACATTTCACGGTCGCTGTTATACTTATACTGTATTAAATTACAATGCATCGAAAATACAAAGGAAAATATAATTTTTTAAAAATATAATCAAACTTCTTTAAATTAAATAAATAAATACACTTTAGGTACGTATATTATTACGTGTAAGTTAAAAAAAAAAATAACAGAACAGCAGTAAAAAAGAAGTATACCGAAGTTTCGGCGGGAAAATATAAAATATATAGAATTATAAAATATTGTATCACGTTACTCCAAGAATTGTTTGTATTGAAAAACGTTTATCGTGATTTTTTTTATTTTATTCGGTAAATACGATCCCTCTGTGTATGATTTATTTATTTTATATAAGACAATATACTACACACAACAAGTGTAAACACATTATTATTAAATACCTATTATACTGCTGTAATAAGTATAATACTACGAGGGTTGATCGGTCGCAATTGTATCGCTTCGTATCGTGTTGAATGTGTATTATGAAAGCATGGTTTTGTTTTTACGTAAACGACCCTTTACGCGGTCGTAATTAGGATATCACATTGCAATGAATTTTGGGAAATAATACTATACTGCACGGAGTGTCCATCGCAACCGTCGTAAATGATGTAAACATATGCCATATATAATACATCATACATGGTTACAACGTTCTTATAAGTATTGCGGTCAATATAATTAATTGTTTATTATGTACGTTATTAAATCACTAACAAAATATGCGTACGATTTCAAATCAAATAGAAGAAATACGATGTACAGGCGACCGACCGAGAAATAGGAGCGGTTTTCAGTGACCGTCGCGTTTATTCCGAACGTGGTTTTCGTACACATAAAATGAATTTCATGACGTGCGTATGCATCATAATAAACTAATAATTACGTACGTTATACAAATTGTTTTAATAGAAAAATAGTGATACGACAACGGGGTGCGTGGTTGTTGCTGGTAAACATACTAAATTAACAATTTGCGTATCGCGCGCGTAGCCGTCGAACAAAATATTATACCTACGCGTCGAGCGGCGACTACAACAGAACGCAGTTGAACAGCAACAGAAATGGATTTAAACAATTACAATAGTATAGTATTAATCGTGATTAATTTAAAAAAAAAAAAAAAGGAAAAACTCTACCGTTACGCACACGCTAAACAGCGAACGGCGATTGCAAATTAATACGGCCTCGTCGTACATTATTCGTACGCGCTGCACCGTACGGGCAGCGGTAAAGTTTTAGTCGCGGAAGCTAAACGCGTAATGCACCATGAGAGTTTTATCAATTACAACATGTATAAACCGTATAAAACACACACGCACACGCACGGCAAATTGACATCAATTAATGCTCACACACGGCGTACACGTATATAAACATATACACACACACGCGCGCGCGCGCGCTCGCGCCCGTACATTTATATATATATATTAATATATTAAGATATGTGGTCCCTCGTCCTTCCTGTACAGTTTGTAACACATATTATATACAATTAGACGGTGATATTAATAATATAATATTGTTATTACAACGTTACTGCCGACGACGTAGTTCTCACGCGTATAAAATACACACGTCGTCGCTGTAGGATGAAAATGTGCAGCGATCTGTACAGTAGTTACACCTATACACGTGTTCGTGTACCGCCTCGTGTATTGAATTTCTTATATTTTAAAATTACATTACGAAAGTATCATACGTTTATATGCACATATACTCGTATATACGAATACTCATTGTTTGGTATAATGCTGACCTATGAAAATTATATTTTAACGTATATTATACTATTTTCACGCGCGCGCGCGCGCAAATACACGCTCAGATATACATATAAATATATAAATTATACGCAATGAAACTTACTTGATATGACTTCCACTTCCCGAGGATTTAGATTTAGCCATCGTATAAATCTTTCCTATAGAGTATTTTACTATCGATATAGGTTGACGAATTATGTTCAAAATATATAATTACGCGTTAAACTGACAGTTTTAGTATAAACATATAATATTTTATAGAATATAGAGACAACTTATAATTTTATAATGAATTTGCTGGAATTTACTCTATTATCTATTCGTAGTGTCCGGATAGAGGACAGAAATTAACCGAAATAGCAGTCGAATCAATGCACATTTTAGTCGGTATTTATTAGGAAAAAAAAATCACAACTTGAAAATTAAAAAATTTTACTTTGCCCAAAATATTTAAAAATTAATATTCTATTGTTCTTCTTCTATTGACGCGCACTGTTACATGTATCACGCACACTGAACATAGTACTATTTATGTGTAAATTTAAGCCAATTGTGTAACTGAAGACCGTCTGTGGATAAACAACGGAGAACTCTGACAACAGACTCGCTGGCTACACCACTGCCACCTCTACTTCTGTAGTACCGATGATCATGATTATATAGTCTATATATATATATGCATACAGAATAATAAGTGTAACAACAATATCCGCTTTGGACACTTCCACCTCCAATACTATTACCACCGACAAATTATAGAATTATATAGCCTGTATATCCTTTTCAATAGTACTAATTGTACGTATTTTATTAGTAATAATAATAAAAAATTAAAGTCTCTCGTCGTATTGTGTTATATATATATATATATATGTATAATATATTTTATGATTGTTGAGTATGATATTGTAAAAGTACGGGTATAACTCGTTATAGTAAAAAGTAATTTTTATTTCATATAAAACGATTTATAACTATTTTCATTAATGAAACGTCAAGTCTAGATTTAGGGGAAACTCCATCGGCTCTCTCACATTTTATCGTTTTCACCGTTTCCCCGCCGTACACACGCCTTTAAACGCATCAACAACACTTTCATAAAGACACACCATTTAAAAATAAACGTGAAAGCCCTCCACCCACTACGGAACACGATTGCCATCGTGTATCCTCCCGTCAAAAATAAAAGCCTGACTCCGACTTTTACTTAAACGTAAACACTCACCTCATCACAGTGTCGCGTTGAAAGAGGGTGCAAGTGGAGACATTTTTCCGAATAAATGTTTTGAAACGATCTTTTAATTTGAGTGGTTCAATTTAATTGAATACATTTGTATTTATGAAAAAATACAATTTTAAACGCTTATAATTCCGTTTTAATCTTAAATTTAGAAGATGGATATTGACCAATTGATTTAAAATGTAGTATTTTTTCATATTAGACATATGAGCAGACGTGTACATAAATGGGAGGGATTTTTGGATTCCCCCCCCAGCTCTCCGAATTTCAGGAAAATAAGGTTATATGTAAATTAAATAAGTATAAAAATGTTAAACCATCCCCCCCCCCCAACAGAATATTATTTTGTCTACGCGCCTACATATGAGTTACACATTTATAATAGATTCTTGTCGACAATAACAATTTTGTAATAATTTCTATCAGTGACGCTTTTACCAACAACTTGATTTTTTATCGCCACATCGATAAAACCAATTACATCACAGATAAATGTTAAATTTCTTATGTTACAACCAAACAGTATTAAAACTTAACCGATACCTTCACCGCATTGCGAAAAATATTATTAATTAGTATTTATCTACAAGATATAGTTGTATTATAGCTCTCACTTGTCTTTTGATTTGCTGTCACCGTTGCCGGTCGCTGTGCCGGTGCCGGTGCCACCGGTCGATGAATCGTTGCCACCGCTCGTAATTTTCTTCGTATCAGCCGCTGCCTTTACGCCACCGGTCGCCGTGGCCGGTAGAATTCCGGACATGGCCAACACGGGCACCTGGTCGTCGTCGTTACCATCGCCGCCGCCGCCTTTGTTGTCGTTGTCGTCGTCGTTGTCGCCGTCTTTTTTCGTCTCGGTCGCGTCTTTGTTGGACGATTTCTCATCGTTTTCCGTTTCGTCCGGAGGTGGCAGCAGCCCGGCACCGTCGTCCGTCGCATCGTTGTCAGTCGCGCTGGCGGTCGGCTCGTCGTCCATCATCATGGCGCCGTGCGGTTGGCGGTTAAGGTGCACCGGAGACACGGGCGACACGGTAGATCCGGTGCCGCCGTCGTCGGCCGGCGTATTGGGGGTACCGGCCGCCGATAAGGGCACGACAAAGTCGTCGTCGGGTTGCGCGAGCGGCGCCGACGCCTCGCCGTCAATGGGCGGTGGCAGGAAAGTGGTGGTGTTTTGGTTGTCCATCGAAACGTTTAGAAAATGTTAAATGCCCGGTGTACAATGAACAACGCCGGACCCGTATGCAGAACGTGCGCCGGTTCGCGGTTTATAATATATAATATATTTAAATACGGTCGTACAGTGTTTAATATATTTATAATAATTATTAGAATTACTTGAGTTTTTTGTTTTTTTTTTTTTTAATTATATTTGTTTGTTGTATAAACTATGTACGGTTATTGAGCACTGAACGTTGCGTCGTGAGCAATACTATATGAACTAGAATTTACGGCAGTAGTTTTGCGTTGCTGTATTACGACGAGATCGTTGCCGTTGATGCTGCAGTCCTTGCTCCTGACGCACTGCTACCCTCGACGGCCGCTGTTCGCGCCGGTGTCGCGCCGCCAACGTGCGGACGGGGGAACGATGTATTTGTGGAACACGAGACGATTATAACCCTACTGCGCTGGTGCTGCTGTTGCTGCTGCTGCAGCCGACGGTAAATCATTTAGAGTCACTGGGTGCCGGGAGTTCTTGGTCCTTGGGTTTTTCGTGCGTGCGTGTATGCGCCGTTTAGGGCGTCCGCAGGCGGACGGAAAAAGAGTTATCCTTCTTCGCCTCGCTCGTCTCCGCGGTCGTCAACACCACCCTTGGTTCGACGAAAATATGTACGAATCACGCGGAACAACTGTTGTGTGCCCGTGTTTACACAACGATTTCTATACGCGGCGAACTGCTGTATATGGCCGGAGCGCGTTGCGGGTTTACGTGCTACACGGACGAGCACAAAATAATTACGATTACTACGCGGCAATCGTTTGCGTGCACGCTATATATTATATTTATAAATGTATGGGATACGATTTACAGATGCGATATACGTATGCGCGAGCGGACACAACCGGCGGACGTAATGTCCGGGGACACGGATACTACTGCTGCTGCCACAGCCTAGTGAGGTGCACGGCGGTGGCGGTCGTGGGAACGAGTCGGCGACGGGCGAGGGTGCGTGGCCGCGGAGGAGGTGCCTGTTTTGTCGTAGTCGCCGCCGTCGTCGTCGTTGTCGTCGTATTCGTCGTTGCCGTCGCAGCAGCAGCAGCAGCAGCAGCAGCAGCAGTAGGAGCAGCAGCACCAGCAGCAGTAGTAGTAGTAGTAGTAGTAGTAGTGGTAGTAGTATCAGCGGCAGCGGTAGGAGCAGCAGCAGGAACAGTGGAGGCAGGTAGCGGAAGGGACAGTGGGGTGGTGTACGACGGGAGGGTGCGGCGTAGCGGCGGCGCTTGGCGTCCCAGTTTTGTGAAGCGCGCGAGAAACTCGGTCCGGGATAGCCGTGCCTGAGGGTGAAGTGCGGCGCGGCTATTGACTCGGTGGCAGTGGGAGTTGGGTGTTAGCGCGACCGAGGCGGTGGTGGGATTATTACACGGCGAAGGGGTGAGTATCGCGCGCACAGTCGTCCCTGGATGCTGTGGATGCTGCGTGTCGCTTCCACTCCGGCCGCCAGAATCGATGATCCCTAGGATACGCGCGCGCCTGTAACGAGCGTGCGTGCGTGCGTCTCCGCCGCCGCCCACTACCGATACGCTATACGCGCGCACAAGCGTCTGGTACACACATACAGCATTGTATATTTGTTTCCACCCTATATACCGGCGAGGTTCATTGTCGTCGTAGAGGCCACCGACCACCGCACGATGTATACCCATTCGGCCGTACTAATGTGTACACGTGGGTGTGTGTGTGTGTGTGAGAGACTACCGGTACAACTGCTTCGACCGATCGCCCTTACTAAAAATACTTTCTCCTCGTCCGTTATTCTGCTCACCCGCTCACGGTTTATACGTGTGTGTGTGTGTGTATACTTTTCTTCGCTCCTGGTGACCCTCTCTGTTAAACAAACAACCCTCTGTCCGTGTTAAAGACACAAATTATACTACGCCATCCTAAATCACTATATTATACGTCCTCAAACATCATGTACGATGTACACACACGAGCGATGTGTCCGCTATCATAACGTTTATGGTACGGTAAACGTTTCATTAGCTATTAAGAAATCGGGTGCGACGCGGTCGACGCGTGCAATAACTAATAAGTCTACCCTGGTATGCACAGTTCACCCATTACACGATGCCGATGTACCCGGTACGCGTGTATTTATTATGAGGTGTAACTGTAGTTGTACGAACAAAAATGTGTAGACTTGCTAATGGTGGACGGGATGATTGTGCGGACGAATGCTCCAGGGCGTCAGCTTCCCTGCTTTTATTATGTTGTACGGTCGATTATTTCTACATACGTAGCCGGAAGTATTGACTGGACGAAAATATTCGCAGGACAAAGCGAGCAAGAAAATAAAGTTGAATATATTACACTTGTTTGTATACACAGTTTGTTTCGCCTCCGTCCCGCTGTGGTATTTTGCACAGTACTGAGCTAAACGTACCGCAGCACTAATAATATTATTTGTAAAACATGCATTATACCCGTACCACCCGCTCGTTTCTGTCTTTACGCGGAGGCACCGCGTTACACGAATATTTATTTTATCGGCAAATATTTTAACGAGGTTGTCTGCCCACGAAATATTTGACATGAAAACCTCGACCAAAATTTCGCCGTAATCATTTGTTATTTTTTTTTTTTTTTTGCACGGCTACAACCGATTGATTTTTCGTGAACGATACACACGAATAATCAAATCACGGTAAATTCACAAACGTAATTGAACATTTTCTGTTCGAAAGCAAAAATATTCGACGCATTCCACTTTTCATACGGATTAATACATTTACTAGAAACACGGAATGTAAATGAGCGGTAACTAAAATTTATACGAGTGTTGTTAATATTCGAGATGGTTACAGTGCTACATAAATTGAAACTATTAATAATCTGGAACATATAATAAATAATCTATATAGATCATGGAATATTATATGACTGAAATTACTACTAACCACATGTACCGATAAAAGTATGACAATAGTTAAATTACGTTTATTAACGCCGTAAATAGTAATTTTATTTGATACGAAGCCGAGTGCATAGGCGTGCGCAGATCTGTATTTCAGGGAGTGCCTAATATTGTCTTAGGCCTTATCTTAACAAAACGTGTAACATAACTTTAATTTTTTATTTAGTATTGAGTTATAGTAGTCTCAATGAATATTTTTTTCTTTGAATCTCGTATATTTTTCTTAGATAGCTTTAACTATTTATGATTTGTATTTTTGTAGTCCATTACTGCTGAACATACACCAACTATTATATTATCATGATACATTTTTGCACGGAAATGTAGAACATTTTGTTTTATTCTGTCTATTACGAAAAATCATTAATTTTTACCATATATTTTAGAACAAATTACATTTATTTTGAACATCAGTTAAAATGAAGGCTCCTTACTCTTAGATTTAAATTATTGGGTCCCATTTATAATATTTCAGAAGGTGCTTGAGCATTTAAGTATGAAAATTGAAAAATTTTACTAGATGCCAATTAAACCAACATCAAGAAAAGGATTGCGACATTAAGTTAGTAACAAGTAGGTCGACAGGATCCGGTCAACGGACGTTTGGCATACAAGATATCATACCAACAGGGTATCTAAATTATACGTATTAATGATGCTTAAAAATAAAAATGTATTGTTAAATTACAATTTATTATTTATATTTCGTTTTATTAATATAATTGTCTAAATGATATTCGATGTAATAATTAAAAATTAATAAAAAAGAAAAATTACATTTATAGTTTTATATTATAATTTACATATTTTAGAAAATCTACGGTGGTCCTATTACATTTATTATTAATAATATTATTTTACCGTTTTTTTACGTACTGCATATCATGAATGTTATCGAAATTTTGGTTTACCCGATAGTATTAATTCAATTTGACCTAAAACACTAGATTTAATTATAAACTAAATACATATAATGTTAAATAAGTTATATATTAGATAGGTAGTTCATTAGTACAAACCTATTGTGTTCTGTTGTTTAATTTTCATTTCTGCAATATTATGTAAACAGCCAATATGAACCACTCCGATTAAAGTCTTCAAACGTTTGTGGCGTGATTTTACTTTGTTTTTGAGTTCGAGCTATATTTAATTTGTTTTTATAACTTACTGACCAAAATTCTAATAGAAATAAAGGAAGAGATCAAAATACTGTTCCATTTCTAAATGACGAATTTTTCCATTTACATATGTCTCATTAAACCAGTGGCGTAGCCAAGGGGGGGCTAATGGGGCTATAGTGTTTATATGTATAATGTATCTTGACTATTTAATAGAATTAATGGATGCTCGTTTTAATCAAAGGCTTATTGATGTTATGTCACTTGAAGGACTTATTCCGGCCAATTTAAATATGTATGACGATAAAAATATTATAAAAACTGCTAAAATATATGTCCAAGATCTCCATGATGATACCTCATCTACAATCAGAGCTAACCTGTTCATATGGAGGCAACAATAGAGTCAAAATACTATTCCAAAACCGAATTTTACTCTTGATTCACTCTCTCATCACACCAATCTTCGACCTAACATTAAAATACTTTTACAATTATTCGCCACGTTACCAGTTACCTCTTTCACTCCGGAAAGAACGTTTTCAGCACTTAATCACTTAAAATTTTTTTTAAGAAGCACCATGTCGGAAAACAGACTGAATGGGTTAGCTATGGCTAATATAAATAAAAAAGAGCAATTCGATGAAAGTGAAATAATAACTGAATTTGCCAGAAATTCGCCTAAGAGGATGCAGCTGTCAGAGTGGAGCAAGTGACTGAACACTGAAACCAAAATTATTATTATTATTATTATAAATTATATATTAATAAATATTTTTAAAACTATACTAAAATGCTTGAATTACGTTTAGAAACTTGGTGGTAGATGGTGAGGGGGGGGTTAAGGCTGAATTCTCATATCCTCTCTTACCTTACTTATTCAAAAAAGTAGTTAGCCCCCCCCCATTTAAAAATCCTGGCTACGCCACTACATTAAACCAATTATAAATCTTGATTGTTATGACTGGTATCAGTTTTATTTAATAAAATATTGCAAATACTTCATTTTGTTGTAAAAATGCTAATGCAAGAATATAGCGTAATTATAAACTAACATGTTGTTCGGTACCATACTCAGTAGTCAATTCAAACGATTTAATTTTCTTTTAAATGTTTTGTGCCAAATGAAGAAAGCACCGTTTTTGTTTACTTTCTGGAAATATAATGTATATTACATTAATTGCAACTTTTTTAAATCAGTAATTAATATATGCTGGATTAAGTTCATAAGTTATGAATCATAACCACTGTTATTGAATAATGAAAAATAAAAAATAAATTGGTTAATATTCGTAAATTAATATAGAAATCAATAAACAAACTGTTTTTTATATAAATAAATAAATAAATAAATAAATAAATAAAAGCTTATCCTGGAGTATTATTGTATTTGTAAAGTGCGATTAGTTTCGAAATAAAAATTCATCGTCAGGTTAATATAAAGTCAATAAAATAATAGAACTAACGATGAATTTTTAATTTGAAATCAATTGCACTTTACTAACATAATAAAACTACCGGCTAAGTTTTTATTTATTTATATATTTCGATGTATAAACTATTTTTTTTTTATTCATAATTATTGTATATACTACATATATTAATTCCAACGTGACGGAAAAAAAAATAAGAAAAAAATCACATAATACAATCCAAAAATAAATAAATATATGATGATAATATAATGCGATAATTTATATTTGATGAGGTTTATTTCTATAACTTAAAAATGACGATTTTTAATTGGCCCATGTCGTCTATATAAACATTTATTTTTTAGTTTATACTACAGGTGCAAAAAAGATTACAGTTGCATAAAAAAATGTAGAATAATGCTGCATGTTGTTTACTATATTTTATTTATGAAATATAGAGTAACAAGTGAATTTTTCAAAAAATTAGCTGAGCTTTAAATATTAATCCAAAACTATTCTGTATTTAATATAGTATTTGGAATTTATAAATCAATAATTAATTATCTCTCGTAGTTCCTTCGATTAAGTA